AAGCTAACAAATAAAACTAAGAACAAGCTTAATAAATAAAATAGTAAAACCATTGGTTAATTTTATTTAAAAAAGAAAGAAAACCAAATTAGCATCAATAAAAATGAAAAGGATAAAAGCATTGTCAATGAAGATTAAAGGAATTATTAAAAGTTATTTTGCCCAGTTATATGCCATCTAAGTGAGATGGATGATTATTTACAAAAATATAAATTGCCCAGATTAACAAAAGAGGAAATAGAATACTTAAATAACTGTCTTAGAAAAAGAAATTGAACAAGCCATAAATGAGCTCTCTAAGAAAAAAATCCCCAGGACCAGATGGATTTACAATTGAAATCTATCAAACATTTACGAAGCAGTTAATCCCAATGCTAAATAAACTATTAGAAAAAATTAGGTAAAGAAGTCCTGCCACATTCCTTTCATGACACAAATATAGGTTTGATACCTAAACCAGAGAGAGTAAAAACAAAGAAAGAAGACTTTAAGTCAATTTTCTTAATGAATAATTATGGAAATTTTTCAAATAAAATATTAGGAAGGACACTAAAGCAATAAATTACAAAGATTATACAAAATGACCAGGTGGAATTTATACAAGGAATGCAGGGCTGGTTCAATGTTAGGAAAACTATAATTGACCTCAAGAATACCAAAACTAAGAAAAATCTTATGATGATGTGAATAAACGCAGAAAAAACTTTTGACAAAATACAACATCCATTTCTATTAAAAAACAGTAGAAAAAGGAGGAATAAGTGGAGCCTTTCTTCAAATAATAAGTACTATCTTTCTAAAACCAAGAGCAAACATCTTTAACCTAGAAGCCTTCCCAAGAAGATCAGGGATGAAGCAAGAATATCCATTATCACCATCATTCTTCAATATTACATTAGAAATATTATCTATAGCAATAAGACAAGAAAAAGAAATCGAAGAATTAGAAAAGGCAATGGGGAAACAAAACTATCACTTTTTGCAGATGATATGATGGTTCACTTAGAAAACCTTAGAGAATCAACTAAAAAAACTAGCTGAAACAATTAACAACTTCAGTAAAGTTGTAGGAGCGGCAAGGGGAAGTATTTAAACAGAGGATAGAAAGAGATTTGTAGGGTATGGTGGTCTCACTGAAAAACATGCCCATGTTGGGAGAAATAAATTTTGTAATAGACAATGGGGGCTTTACAATGAATTTAATCTATAGGTAGTCAGAGTACAGGGAAACCATTCCTGAAAGTGATGTGTCAACAAAAACAACATCCTGTGATTCTGGGGGCGAGTGGCACCCAATTGGTTGGGAGGGTATGGACCTAGAGAAGAGATTACATGGCAAATGGGAAAGAAAATGACCACACCAAGGGGAGGGAATACAACTGAGCCATGTGATCGGAAACACAAAGAAATTTCCTGAGACAACAGCTTCCCCAAATTTGCAAGCTATAAAATAAACCCACAAAAATCAACATTTCTATATAATAATAGAATACAAAAGGCAATAATAGAAAGAGAAGTCCCATTCAAAATAACCACAAAAATGCATAAAATATTTGGGTCAATTTACCAAACCACATTCAGTACTTGAAAAAATTCAGTAACTATAGAGAAATAATCAATGTTCAAGCCTGGACAATGCTAATATCACATGAATGACAATACTACCAAAGTTAATTTACAGATTTAGTGCAATAATAATGAAGCTACCAAAGGGATACTTTAAAGAGATAGACAATATTTGTTTGCAGAAATAAAAGATCTAGAATATCAAGGGAAACAATAAAACTTGATAGAAAGAATAATACTTCCAGACAACAAACTATATAGTAAAGAAGCACTCAACAAAACAATTTTGAACTCATTAAAAAATAGAAAAGTAACTCAAAGAAGAATAAAAATAATTCATCTAAATAACCCAGTATTCAATAAATCTAAAAATATAAATTACCTAAGAAGTCCCTGTTTGTTTAAAAAAATGCTGGGGAAACTGAAAAGTATAGAAGAAACTAGGCTTAAACTAGCATCTTACAATATATTGTACAATAAATTCAACATTGGATTTAAATTCATGTGACTTGACTGTTAAAGATCATGTATATTTTTTAATCTAAAGAGAAATAAACCACATATATTTCATAGCTACAGGTGGGGGAAGGTGAATTGTTGATCAAATAAGAGATAGACACAATTACAAAAGATAAAAATAAGTAATTTTGATTACATCAAAATAAGTTATTTGCACAAACAAAATTTACGCATGTAAGATAAAGGAAGCAGTAGTCTGAGAAAAATATCTTTGTATCAAATTATCTTTGATAAGAGCTTGATACCCAACATACATAAAGGCTAAACATATAAGACTAAAGGCCATTCCCTGATTAGAGGTCAAAGGATACAAAAGAACAGTTCTCAAAAGAATTGCAAACTATTAACAACCATATAAAAAATGTTCCAAATCATGAGTAATGAGAGAAATAAATGCAATGAAACTCTGAGGTTTCACTTCACATCAGAAAATTGGCAAAGATGGCAAAAAAATCAGAACAGTCATTGTTGGATGGACTGTAGAAACAGGTACACCAATGCATTGTTGGTGGTGCTGGGAAATAATGCAACCATTTAGAAAGCAATTTGGAATTATGTAAAGAAAACAACTGAAATGTCCATACTCTTTGGCCCAGATTGCACTAATAGGCACACACTAGTAGGATGCTAATTACAAAAAAAAAAAAAAAGGCTCCATACACATCAAAATGTTTATAGCAACAAGACCTGGAAACAGTATAGATGCCCATTAAATGGAAATTGGATTTTTTTAAAGTGTGGTATATGAATGTGTTATCACTGTTGTAAGAAATAGAAGGGAGAAACAAAAGCATAGAACAATGTAAGGTCCAAATTCCCCCACCTAGGGAATCCTGCCTCTCCCTCCCCAAACAGTGGGTCAAGTTCTATACCAAAGGAAGATGCCAAGGAGCTCCAGATTGATTATAGGTATTAGTTTAATGAATTGGGTTGCTTATATTAGTGGAGATATGATGGATCCTTGCCAAGAATTAACATTATTCAATCTGGCAACAGCCAGGCCATAGGTTGGATCCCCTGTGCAAAAAAATAAAATAAAAAATATCGCTGTGGTGATTATGTATATATATAAAACAAAGGGAGGAGAAGCTAGAGAGTTCATCACTACTGATCAGTGGATATTTTTGGTTTGCTGCTCAGTAATAAGCTTAGGCATTAAGCCAATGTCAGGCCCAAACAAAAGTTTGTGTACTGATCATGTATTGATCACATATGGGCCACAATAATCTTGTCATGGCTTTCATAGGTCATAGTATCTAAGTTTGACTCAGTGTTTAAATTATGATTCAGTATCTAAGTTATGATTTTTAACAGGTCACCACGTTTAGGCTCCCACTTTTCACAGAGTTTAAGCTTTTATGGCTTTTCATTTATTACTACATTTTATGGTTTCTGTCCAATTGGGAATCCACAAGACTTATGCAAATTGATACTACATTAAATAAGCATAGCCAGGAAAATAATATGTATAATTATTACAACATGAGGAACAACAAAACAATCAAAACTGAACATCAAGAAACTATAATGACCAAGCTTGGCCCCAAAGAAGAGATAAAAGAAGACAGATCCCTTTTCCCCTGTGCAGGAGTATACATCCATGGGTGTGAAATACTGCATATGGTATCAGACCTTACAATGTGTTGATTAGTTCTGCTGACATTTTTTTTTACTTTCTTCTTAAAAAAAAAATAGTGCTCTAAGTGATGGCTCCTGGGAGAGGAGGGAATGCTGAGAGGCAAGGAGGATGATGAAGAATAATAAGGTAAGGATATCAATAAAAATATATTTTTAAAATGCACAGCTGAGATTTCTAAATACACTTCTATATTTAAAATCCTATCATTTCACATCACAAATATGGTGAGAAAATATACACAATTTTTTATATGACAGGAAAAATGGTTACTTGATGTCTCTTCCTTTTGTAAAGGTTGAACACAACCAAGTGCTGCCATCACCCTTGGGCAGGGCCCTATTATCTCCCGGCTGATCTACTACAATAACCTTATCAGTGTATCAGTGTCTTCTCCATTCCCACCCACCCTCTACTTGGCTACTACCAAAGCTGTCTTCCTTAAGTGCAGACCTGACCATGTCACTCTTTCTTTCAATGAACTCGTCAATAAAACACAATATCCCCAGGGATAAATATAAATGTCTCTGGCTTTTAAAGCCCTTTACAGTCTGCCCCCTATCTTTCCAGTCTTCCTACTCTCACTCATGTAGTCTATGGTCCCATGATTCTAGCCTCCTTACTGTTCTTCATGCCAGACATTCAATCTCCCAACTATGCATTTTCACTTCCTCTCCACCTCCAGACTTGCTTCAAATCTCAGCTAAAATCCCATCTTGTGTAAGAAGCCTTCCCTGATCCTTAATGTTAATGCCTTCCCTCATTGTTATTGTCATTGTTGTATAGTCTTTCAGCTGTGGCCAACTCTTCACGACTCCATGGACCACAGCACTCTCAAAATCTGTTCCACTTCACGTTAGTTGTTTCCATGATACTGTCTCATCTTCTGCCATTGCTTTTTCCTTCTGCATTCAATCTTTCCCAACATCAGGGTCTTTCCCAATGAGTCTCATCTTCTTTATGTGTCCAAAATATTTAAGCTTGAGCTTCAATATTTGACCTTCCAGTGAATAGCCTGAATTTATTTCTTTAAGTATTGACTGACTTGCTGTCCGCAACTCTCAGGTCTTCTCTAGCACCACCATTTGTACATAGTTGTTTGCATGTTGTCTTCCCTCGTTAGAATGTAAGCTCCTTGAAGGCAGGGACTGGTTTCATCTTTCTTTGTAGCCCCAGAACTTAGCACAGTGCCTAGAACATAGTAGACACTTAATAAATGCTTGTCAATTTGACATGACTTGTTATTCATATAGGAGGATGAGTCATTAACTAAGGCTGATTTAAATAAAATTTCAAAATACTTTATTTCAGAAACAGAAATATTGCCAACCTTATATTGCACAAGTCATTAGTAACACATTCAGAAGCAGAGATGAGGGTAAATATGATCATAAACGTTTTAGGTAATGTGGATGGAAAAATAAAATTTATTTTATAACTTCTACCTTGAATTAATGATCCACCATGATAGCAAGGAGGGGAGGAAGGAGAGACATGCGGTAATCCATTAATCATACTCCCTTTTATTACAATACAGTACAAATAACTAGATGTGGATATGGTTAGAAGTACTATCTATAAGCAGCTTGGGAGGAGGCAGATGGTGTTGAGTGGGAAAGAAATTAGGGGAACAGCACTCCTCTGTCAGTATGACATACTTATTCAGCAAGAAAATCCACAAGGTTGGCTTCATCACCACCATGATGACCTAACCAGCCAAAGATGAAAGAATTTACTTCATGACCTGATTCAGTGCTCCCTAATTGCTATGAATAAATAACATTAGGAAATCCACAAACAACTATGCACAAGTGCATATTAACAAATTGTTAATTCTTATATAGCAATTTGATTTGGGTCCTGGACATCACTAGAACTGAAGAAGATCTTCAAGAAGGCCTTCAAAAAGATGCATGAATACAAAGGGCACTTGAATCAGTCCAGTACACAATAAAAATATAAAACTGTCCCATAATTAAGAAATAGCAGGGAATGGTTAATAGTTTAAAAAATAATTGGGGTAATAAGGAAATTGGGTAGAAGGATCAATAGAAATGTTGCATTCATAATACAGAAAGTGTATTTGTAGGTCAAAAACTACCCTGCATTAGTTGGAATAACTCCCTATTTTATAGCACTTTTCACGTTTAAAAAGTACTTTCCTCAAAACAACCCTATGAAGTAAGAAGTGTTAGCATTACAAATGAGGAAACTGAGACTCAGGGGAGGTTGTAACTTCTAAGATCACATGGCTAGTAAGTCTGTTAACTGATTTTTCATCCAACTGGTACTGATGTCTGTCAATGCCCCATCTTGGGCTAGTCTTGAAGGTTTGGATCCAGTAAGTTTCATGTTAAGACAGTAAAAACACAGTAGAAAGGATATTGGATCTGGAATTTGGAGACCTAGGTTGAAATTCTGGCTTGGCAACATACAAATGGCTTTGGGCAAATCAACCTCTCTAATCCAATAAAAGGAGATTAATATTTATACCACCCTGCAACTCAGAGTTGTCATGGACATCAATTCACATTATGAATGCAAAATTCTTTGTAAAATCAATCACAAAGTAGAATGCAAAGGAAAAGAAACTGAAGTTTAAGAGAGGTTAAAAGGAACGAGAATTCAAATCCAGGGTTTCTTCTACCAAATAAAGGACTCTTTCCAGTATATCACAGCTGTTTCTATCTAACTTACAATGTCCAACACATTAAGTTGGACAATGAGTAAAGCTGAAAAGGTTTGACCAGCAAAGGACAGCTGACAAAAAGAAGCAATCATTATCCTCACAAATGAAGTGTATTTTGGTATCTTCAAAGGTAAAGGTGAAGGTGATTTTAATTACTATATTTTCCAGCCTTTTGCCTTTGATTTTTCTCCTCCATCCATTACCTTCAACTCAGCCAGAATTTGAGCTATACTGATACCAACACTCTTATCAAACTAGAACCTACAATTAAACCCAGATAAGTGAAATTCACAAGCAGATTTCACAACCTGAATAGATCAAGACATACTTAGTTTAGCAGGAGCGGGCTGATTTTGAACATAAATAGAAAATTCACTAGGGTGCTTGTTTTTTTCTTTTGTTAAGCACAATTTAGAGAAACCACACTCTTAAGAGACAAACCAAAGCTAACTACATTAAAACAGAAACTGACTAGGTATTAAAGTGACATCCTTTTCATGATAGTACTACTTAGGTACCACCAGCAAAATGAACTTCTTGAGTTTTTCAAGTAGTCATAGTAACAGAATGTAAACTGACCTAACCACAAGCACTAATCTGCATTTATTCCCCTTACAACCAACATCAAGTATACTGTATAAAGGCTGGCTGGGGCAGGTATATTGGCCCCAAGGGAAGGATCAAACCTGAATGCATTGTACTTTACCAAAAACCAATCAGAATATAAATTACTACAGTACGACTTCTAAAAATTCAATTACTCAACAGGTCTCAAAAACATATGACTACCACACTGGTAAAGTATATTAACATGCTTAATAATTTTTTCAACTGCAAATCACTCTAACCTAGTTAAGCGATAAGCTGCTTTAGAAAGCATATGAATGGCTTATATAAAAGGTGAATGTGTTATGAGATTTGGCCAGCTAATACATTGCTTTGCTTTCTGCTCTGACAGTCTACTAACAAAAAATTATCTCAAACTGTACAGTTGGATATTTAACCTTTTTTCCAACAGATATAATCAAGGTGGAATTTGACAATTCTAGGAGTATATACTATAACCGTAAGTTTCTACTTCTAGCATCTCTCTCCATATGCATAATAAAATTTCAGTCACTAAGTCAATATTTAAGCCATTTTCTATGATAGTAAATAAGTTAATACGTGTAGCAATGGTGATAAATTAGGATTAGACTTTCTGTTGTTGCATGTTGACTGAATATTAAAAGGTAGACAGGAAAATCCTTGAGACATGTTTTCATATGAATTACAGGAATATTATTAAAACAAGGCAAAAGTGGATTGAATGCTTATAAAATAGAATATTATACTACAGATTGTGGAAATGTTATAAAGGAAAAATTAAATTAAGTAACAGAGTATCTGGAAATATTTTATTATATATACTTGGCTTAACTAAAGTAAATGCATAGTTACACTAAAAACTTCAGTTACACATCAAAGTTAAACTGTACAAAATACAAATAACGTTATCATATGTAAGCCACTTCTACAACGGACCCCCAAATTTTTACAATGAAAAAATGGAATGGAAAGTACACAAAGGAAAAAACCACCATCAGGTCAATTTTTTAAGTCTTCCACCTAACTATGCTTGACCATGTAAAAAAACAAGTTGACAATGACAGTTATTTCCCATGGTGACCTTTTTCCTGTGTACAATTTCCCCACCCAATGTCAATTCACATTGAAGAGATTATGAACCATTAATACTCTGGCACTTGACAATAAAAACCTTCATTTTAGTCCTAAGAAGTACTATTCATGGAAAAAGAAATGACAACTGGTTATACATATCCTGTAAAACGATGAGAAGGCGCCAATGTCCAGTGAGAGTTCTTTTGAAACATAAAGGTCTTGAGGAAAACTGTAATGGTCTTGAAATAACTGTTCGAGATTCACTTTTCACATTTCAAGAACACTTTCATCTTAAGCATTATATCCTCAGACAAACATTTCAAAAAGACATGACAATTCATTGAAAGTTGTAAACAGGCTTCTTTGGACACAATGAAAGCATGCTATTTAAGAGGAGGGATGATCTTCACCTCGGATACTTCGGTACTTAGCCATGTCCTCTGGAAAAACTTTAGAAAGCTCCTGAATCAACAGGCTTTTAAATTTCTGTGAAGAAAAATATAAAATGTCAAAAGATATCTATTTTTGATCTATGATCGAGGTCAGGCCTACACAACCTGTGGCCCACAGGTCCGCCAAAGGATTTCAGGCAGCCTGCAAGAGACATAGAGGATGCTTTCCTCTACATTTTTCATGGATCACAGAAATCCTTTAGCGTGCCGTAAGCAGCCTGCAGGCTGTAAGCAGCTCGTGGGCCACAGGTTGCGCAGGCCTGATCGAGGTTAAACTTTACACAGAACAGGAATGCTACACAACACTTATAAACTGAACCAGATCTACTCAAAAGTATTCATACAAAATTGGCCTACACTTCATTTAATGTTTAACATCCACAGTTTGTTAGTGTTTACTGATGTATTTGACATAGGACTTATTTTGCTAGAAAAACTAGTTTCAAATTAACCAATTTAAAAGTTTCTTTCAAAATGACCTCAACAATGCATATGCACTCAAATGATGATTCCTATCCACCTCCCCACCCCTACACCAAACACACATCCTTCTTGCTTCAAGTAAAAGTACCACCTTCTTCCTGAAGGGAAACACACAGCTGGAATTAATTTTGGTAGACAACTCACGTAATAGGATTCCACAAGTAGGATCTAATTAAGCAACTGTACATTCTAACTATACCAAACTTACTGTTTGCAAACAGTTCATAGAAAAGATCTTCAGAACACCGGGAATCTACTCCAAACATCGTGACATGAACTGGCATTATTTTAATTAAATTTTCAATAGCTGCCCATTTGTACAGTAAATCAGTTATTTCTTATATACTATTCCAATATGAACTAAAATATTTTAAAATAACAACTCACATTTGTATAGAGCTTTAAAGCTTGCAAAACCTTTTCCTTACAACAACTCTCTAACATAGACAGCATAAATGCTTTTATCTCCATGTTGTAGATGGGGAAAATGTAGATAGGGAAACAAAGGCTTTGGGATGTTAGAAGGCAGGTAGGATTACACAAGTAGTAATGTCACTAGATAAGGTGGGAAATGAATCCAGGTAATCTAAATCCAGCATTCTATCCACTCTCCCACAGTGCAACAAAGTTCAAGTAATATTCAAAGTCCAATTCTACAATAATTATTTAAAATGGAACTTTTGATTAAAAAAAAATGTCTTTTATAACAAAGGTCCACACTTGAGAAAATCAAAGTAACAGAACCATGAACGGGGACGTCAAATAGTCAAGAAGTGAAGAAAATGAAAAACCATGATAAAGAATGCCACAATGAAGACAAACGAACAGTCACGAAGCATTACTGCCTTCAGTGAATTTTCTGAACTCCAAAGAGAACTAAGTATAAAAACTGTCACACTGGCACATAAAATCACTCAGTGGATGCCTGGACAGACACTCAGCAAATGCTTGGGCAACAGTAGTCATGTTGGTTTACGCCCAAAAGTTCCAAGCTGCCACGCCCCTTGCAAGTTCCTTGAGGCCAGGGATTATTTCATTTCTATCTTTGTCTACACACAGTCTAGCACAATGCTTGATACACAGGTGCTTAACAAGTGATTGCTGCTTGATTTATAAACAGCAGTAAAGATGTCAGATGTATAGCACACCATTTAAAACAGTCAAAATATCATTAATTTCTAAGTACAATCATGTAAATTACATATGGCTGAATAAGGAAGAAAGCTCTACCCTTAATCTTGTGAATTATGTTAAATTCCAATACCTGAAATCATACTGATTACACTATTCCCCTCCAAAAAAAAAAAGAAAAATGAACAGCACAGTTCCAAATATGGAAGAATGAAAAATGGGTCTGCAATTGTACCTATTCTTTAAAAAGAAAAAAAAAAGTTTATTCTCCAGTCTTCCCAGGTAAACTATTCAAAGCACATGATTATCACCAGTGTCAGAATTTGAACAAAGTTTTACCAACATTTCTTGAAGAAACACTGCAAAATAAATAACAGCATATTACTGAGCATTCCTTGCAAGCCAAGAGGCATAAGAAATTCAACCATCAGGGTTCAAGCATTATTTTTCCTTTGACTTGTTCACCTTTGCTCAGAGCTTTTTTCAAAAATCATTACATTCAGAGCTGCTGTGTGCTTTGCACCACTTTGACCCTGATTTATGAATCTAATTTAAAATAGATTATATATTATTGGTTTTTCTCCCCCTTGGGGAGAGATTTAGTATAAGTAGTGTTAATTCTAATACTTTCAACACCTGTCTCTGATTGAAAGAGACAGAGACATAAACAAAGAATTTCAGATAATTTGAAATTTTGAGGTAATCTCAGATTAGCCTATCGACTTTTTTCTAAGGGAGAGAAAAAATTCCTATACTTAGATGCAGAATTCAACACATAGTACGTAATATTTTAAGCATTATCAATTACCTACATAGCACAGTAGATAAAGCACTGGACTTGGAACAGGGAAGACATGAATTCTAATTCTGCCTCAGATATTTACTAGTTGTCTAGCCCTAGGTAAATAACAATTCGTCTTGACCTCAGTTTCCTCATCTGTTAAATGGGGATAGCACCCCAGGGATATTGCCAGGATCAAATGAGACAGCACACATAAAGTGCTTTGTAAACCTTAAAGTACTACATAAATGTTGGCTATTATTATTAGAACTATTTTTAAAACACAAGGCAAAAGTTATGCAGGTGAGCTGGGAATCATGACAAGTAGGAAGAAAGCAGTTGGAAAGAATGTGTAACAAACTGGGAATGAAAACAGAAGCTGGAAACTCTTTTATGGGAAATACAAAAAAGCGAGATATGAAGGAATATAATAAACCTGGGGAATATAAATATGGAGGTAATTCTTAGCAGGACAGCCTAGAAAATAGTAAAATAGCAAAGTGGATAGCGCTAGACATTCAGTCAGAAAGAATCAGGTTCACATCCAGCCTCCAAGCTATGTCATATTTCTACCAATAACAATTTAACAATGATAGTGATGATAATAATAATGTTGATGACAACAATGATAATAGCATTTATGTAGCACTTTAAGGTTTGCAAAGAGCTTTACAAATATTATGTCACTTTATCTTCACAACAACCCTGGGAGGTGGGAGCTCTGATCCCTATCTTAGAGATAACGGATGACAGAACTGAAGCAAAAAGAGGTTAAATGATATAGCCAGGATCACACAGCTAATAGTTACGTGGCCAGATTTCAATTCAGATCTTCTTGAATGCAGATCCAGCATTCTATCCACTGTTCCACCTAGCTGCTTGAAGACAGTTAATATTAAGCTGGATTTTGTTGGGCTGTTTATTTTTACCCAACACGTAAAATTTCAGAAATCCTAACCATGAAGTATTTAGAAATGAAAAATTTCAGTTCTTCCTACATTGAAGGAAAGTAACAAAAAGACAGAAAAAAGTAGGCTCTTCTCATCAAATTTCTCTTTACACAAATTCTGAAAACTTTTTTCACCATATCACGACAATCTTACCTTCATAGTGTCAATTTTGCCTTTAACTTGTTCATTTTTGGCTAGGGCCCTCTCTAAGCACTCTTTGGTATACAGCTGGGGATTGCGGCCTTGATCAATATATCTGAAAACATGAAACACCTCATGTTAAATTATCATTAAGAATAAAATACTCTGAAAGACAAAGTAACTAAAACATTAGCTATATGAAAAGCATAGCTGCTAAGGTACTCCCTGTCAAAAGAATTCAATTTACAAAATTATTTAACCCATAAATGCAATATACATTTACTTCTTTGAATGAGTGTCAAATCAACTGTCTCTTACACATTAGACCAAAAAGATCTACTACTAAACTTCTGCTAATGCCAATAAAAAGAATCAAAAAATATATCATTTCTAAGTTAAATAAGTATCAAAAGTCTGTAACAATAATTTTTGTCTGTATCATGTGTCACAATGCTTTTACTTCCGTTACTTCATTTTAATTCTCAAAACAATTTTGTGAAGTAGAAAACACATTATACTCATCTGGCAGATGAGAATATCCAAATGATACATGGAAATTATGACAACACAGAGCAGTTAGTAGAAGAACTGAGCCTATGATGTAGGATTCATAAATCTGGGCTCCACTCTGTGCTGATGCTATTATTATTGGCTTAAGTTTAGCAAAAATTCCAAGGATACTCTCTAATCATAAGTGTCTCCTGTACTGCTTCTAAAAAATAACCATTAAACTATTTTAGTTCTTCTACTTTTTGAGGATTCCATCAAGACACACAACTTAGGTCTGTACACATATTTTAATTTTACTACATACCAAAGATTCACTTTTTCACTTGTGAAATAATTTGGCCTTATCGTCTAAAAGTTAAGCTGAATTATCCAATAATAAATGAATAAATTAACAAATTATGCTAAACCCAATTCACAGTGTGCAGGATAGTTACAGTTACTTCCAAAAGATTTAAATGTTTCAAGTTATTGTTTCTGACCAAAAAAAAACCTGTTCTTGAATTATAATTATATAGAGCAATCAATTTTCTGCTTCAAAAACTGGCATATTCTATAAATTCCACTTAAGTTACATATCAGGGAGCAGGTGGAATGAAAGAAACAGAATTAACCAACATTCCAAACACAATCCGCCAAGTTCCAAAGGAGAAAATGGGCAGCCTTGCATAACATGGTCAGTAACAACATGAGGCAGAAAGTTCTGTGATAGGTGCAAAGAGAGTTCAAGGGCTGGGGAAACAGCAGAAGACACAGAATAAATAACATGTTCCTTTGAGGGTAGGAAACGTTATATTTTTGCCTTAGTATCTCCCAGTACTTTGCATACAGTTGGTACTTAATATGTTTCTACATTCGGACAATCAGTCAATAGCATTTAAAGACATACTTTCTGAGAGACACAGTGTTGGGTGCTGGGAATGCAAATACAATGAGTCTCCGAAGTCAAAGAATTTATATTGTAATGGGGGGAGGGGAACAAAAGGAATGTTAACATGTTCAGATAAGTAAACATAATATATAGAGGATATACACATCTGCTATCCACAGAGTCAACTTCCATAAATCACTTATACTGTAAGCAACTCTAGGACTGACTGTGACAGAACTTAGCGTTTGTTTGTTTGCTTTTTTCTAAATCTCCTCAGTGCTTACTACTGTGTTACTATTTGCTGAATAAACACCTGATCACCAGATAGATAACTAGTTACCCTTCCACATCAGGACTTTCCCCATTTCGGTTTCAATATATCTTGTATCGGTGTAAGAAATTAAATGGGAATTTTTGGAGAGTTTTGCAGAGGCCACAGAAGACACAAAAAGGCCAGCAGATGACACAGAAAAACACTTAACCCAAATTTTACACTAAGATACTATAAACACCCCATAAAAGAATAAGAATTCAGACTTCTTCTCTGGTAAGTAGGGAGAGCCAAAAAACTTAACACGGATTTTCCAGATCACAGGATTGACCTGACCCTAAGACCCTTGATGTGGAAGGGATAACTGTATAGCAACCACCCTAGTATCCACGAGTAGCTGAAAATACTAATTCTAAAGCAGCAATTCCTTCCCCATAATGCATGCAGACCAACATTTTACCCAAAATTGCATTTTCACTCTTAAGTGCCTACCCCTGTTTCTAACTGCCTCAAAGACTGATCACATGCTCTACGTTACTGCTTAAAGAACTAGACTCATTCCCCGTCTATGCTTTTGTTTTCTAGCAGTCTGGGGTCATCCCATATTTTCAAAGCTCTACTTCAATGAGTCTTGAGAAGGATCTTTCACCCTTATTTACTACAGCTCCATTCTTAATCATCACTGCAGGATGTGAGCTTCTTCAGCTACATTGTTTCTACAGCATTCCACGCCCTCAGTAACAGGCAACAGGCTCAAAATTCCCATATTGGAACTATACTGTCAACTTCTTAGAGTCTATGTTGACATTATTTTTCATTTGTTGGACTACAGGAAGGGGGAGAAAAATGAGCCAAAAGTGATCAGAACTGTCAGTTCTATTTCTTGTAGTTATTGATTGGTTGCTAAACAAGGATGTTTCCATTATAAAAGGTAGGACAATATAATAATTTCCACTTCTGCACTTTAACATGGGAAACCTGCTATCTTAATTTTTAAAGAGTATTTTTTTAAAAATACATTATTACATACTTGTGTCTCTAAGAGACTATTTATTATTATATTAAAATTAATATCTAGCTTCTAAAATAGGAGTAAAGATTAGACCTATGATTTCACTGATATAGGGAACTGCTAAGTAAGGAAAATCTTCACCAATGCAAATTGTCACCTTCTCACAACTTACAGTCTTAGAGAGCTGCCTAGAGCACTGAGAGGTTAAGTGACTTGCCCAGGATCACACAGCCAGTATGTGTCAGAGGTGGTATGTATGTAACCATTTATACTATGTAGAGAAGAAAAGAAAGGTCTATAAGGAGAAAACATTAGCTCTCTCCATAAAGAGGGCTTAAAAACTTGTGAGGATATTCTTTATGTTTTTAATAATCCTTAATCTATATGAATGCTCTGTCAATTTTTAAAGAGTCTAGAACCTGGCAATTTTTTAGAAGAGGATTATTTAGGCTACTTCTGTCCATGTACCCTAGTTACTCAAGAGTTTTAATATTAAACTAATATCAAAAATTATACTTACTCAAAAACTTCTAAAGGGACACTAATATCATGAAGCTGCTGTCGACACTTGTCAATATCCTGTAAGCCAGTCACAATAAAATTCCTAGGCATAAAACAAAAATTAAATCCATGGTTAGATACTTGAAGCACTAACAACAAAGCCCATATTCTATACATATACACACACACACCCCCACCCACCCACCCACTCCAGCTAACCTGAATTCAATTAGAGTACTTTCCCTTTTGAGTCACTGCCTTGTCATAGTGGAGGGGCTTGCATAGCTCAGTGATACTTTAAGTTATGCTGTGTAGGGTTACCCAAGATGGACAGGTCATCGTGGAGAGCTCTAACAAAAGGTAATCCACTGGAGAAGGAAATGGCAAACTACTTCAGTGTCTTTGCCAAGAAAACCCTACAGAAAATGATAAAGGACAGAAGGGCCTGGTGTGCTATTGTCCATGGGGCATGAAGAGTCAGATACAACTGCCACTCTGGGGTCCCTTGTGTGACCTTGAGCTTATCACTTAATCTTAACGGACTCAGTTTTTTCATCTGTAAATTGAGGGGAAATGAACTACATGACTATTACGAACCATTCCAGTTCTACATCTATGATTCAGTTTCTTCTACTCGTAGATGCTTATGCGGATGTGCATGTGTGTATGTATATGCACACGTCTACATATGTACATGAATGTTTGTAGAGGAGTGTACACATGTATGCACATTTATATAATATAACCATACTCTTATCTCTTATATGTGTATATTTAATAGTAAGAATATATAGCATATATATGCATGCATGTATAATACACATATAAAATGATCCTATGGTGGTTGTATTCTCTGTTCTCTAGAAGTATAGAAGATCGATATGCACACATTCATATTACACATATACATATACCTACCTATACCAATCTCTCTACATATTACTTGTCTGAAACTTTTTTCCCCACCTGTTCACAGTGCTAAAAGCACAGAATTAAAATGCTCAAGAAAAACTTGTCGATGTGGTTAATTCATCTTCTCTCTATAAGCTGCAGATTCTTGGACATGAGGAGCTATATTCAAGTTCAATAACCACTCCTGCAGCTGACAGTTCCTCCCTTTCTAGCTCCCATGCCAGCGTACACTTTTCAGTAAACTTATATTTACAGAGGAATAGAAGATTTACAGAGTGCTTTCCTCAACAACCCTAAGAGGTAATGTAAGTATATTTAGCCCCACTTTACAAAAGGGAAAGATGAGCCTAGGAAGTTCCATGAGTCTCCCAAAGTCACAGTAATCAGTCTGCAATGAGACTCGAACCCACGACTCCAGGCTCCAAATCCAATGCTATCCCTACTAAATCGAGGTACCTAGTTATGACATATCAGTAGTCTCGTTTTAGAAAAACGGGCTTCTTCCCCGCTGCTGTCCCCCCTCCTCAAAGCAGGGGTGCCGTAACCTGCAGCAGTGACCGCAGGGAAAGCCAGCGGCAGCGCAGGCTCCCGGGAAGACTCGTCTCCCCGCGCCCCGGGTGCTTTCTCCGTGTTCTCCAGACACGCTCCCGCAGCTGCAGGCCCAGGGGACCCCGGGGGGAGGGGAGGCAGGGGGAAGGAGAGGCAATGGGGAGGGGGCGACGACCCTCACAGCTTCTGGTTGAGCCCCGCCTGGCTGCTGGGCTGGAAGTCGCTGACGATAATGCCGAGCTGGCGGATGTTCTCCACGAACTTCTCCAGATGTTCCTCCAGGTGGTCAAACTTCTCCGCCATCTCCGCACTGGGGAAGCCGCCGCTTCTTTGAACCGCACCAGGAGACCACAACGCAACCACCGCCGCCGCCGTCCTTGCCGCCAATCCGCTTCCTACTTCCGGCCAGCTGCCACAGAGACTTCCGTTTCCGCTCATTGCCCCGCCCCTCTCGGCTGGGAGTCTGGCCCCGGGCTGGGCAGGCGCGGTGAGGGAGGTGCTGCTGCCCCCAGGCCGCTCCTCCGTGCCCCCTCCCAGTCCCTACGCTTCCCGCCGCGATCCCTGAAGCCCCAAGAAAAGTGGAGTTAACTCTTTTGGTCCCCCAGCCCCCGTGTAATGCCCACCTGAAAAACTTGGACTCTCAGCTCTGCGTCTTAACTGTGTGACCTTGACCAAGTCACTTCACTTCCCTGGTCCTTAGGCCTCTGCCAGTGCAAAGGTTGGACTAGACTAGTCTTTGTGGCAGTCTGTTAAAGCCTTTGGACCCTTCTCAGAATAACATTTTTAAATGCATAAAATAAAATATACAGGGTTATAAAGGAAACCAATTATATTGAAATAAGGATTTTTTTTTTCCCTATCCCCAAGTTCACAGGACCCCCCTGAAATCTTTCCACAGACCCCTAAGAACGCCTAGCCTGGATAATCTACCTGGTCGTTTCCAACTCTGCATCAGACGATCCTATGACCTCTCCTATGCCCCACTGCTACTACTCCCATCAGAAAAACCCCAAATTATCCCTAATAAGCAACTTAGACACCAAGAAGGGCACTGGAGGCAGAAGGGACCCAAGGCAACAGCCACCAAAATCAGGTTATTAGGCTCATAGCCTTTCTTTTCAGTAGGTCCCTGAATTCAGTAAGGGATGACCCCAGAATCTGTGAAAGACCAGGAAACACAGGTCTTTCATGCAGTAAACACAACTGCCAAACAAAGAAAATAAATAAAATTTGGGGAAAGAAACACAAAATTTCTAAGGTTCCTTCCAGCCCTAAATTCCTGGATCTAGAATAAGTCGTAAAATCTGGAGTCTTCCCTCTTCATGACTCCTCCTCAATAACAGCCAATATCCCTCCTAGCCAATTAGCCACAAAACCTGAAAGAACTAATCAATCAATAAGCATGTGTTTAGTTCCTACTCTATACCAGGCATATGAGCAATCTCTGCCCTCAAGAAATATACATTCCAGGGAGATGGGGGGGGCGAGGGGGGAAATAAATACAAAGGAAATGGGGGGGGGAAGCCACTAGAAGTTATGGGTTTCATAGGGGTTTCACAGTTTCATGGAAAAATGTGTGCTTGAACTTTCTCTTAAGGGAAGTGAGGTATTATGTAAGGCTGAGGTGAGAGGGAATACATGCTAGGCAAGGAGAATGGAGATAGGGTGTCTATGAGAAATTGAGAGATCAGTTTGAAGTATTTTGTTGTTGTTCAATCCTGTCCAGCTTTTCATGACCCCATTTGAGGTCTTTTTTTTGTCAAAGTTACTGGAGTGATTTGCCATGTCCTTCTCTAGCTCATTTTACAAATGAGGAAACTGAGACAAGTGACTTGTCTAGGGTCAAACAACTAGTAAGAATCTGGCCTTCCTTGCCCTGAGGTTAGTATCTGAGCAAACAACTCTTGGGGAGATGGGCCTTTGAAAGGTGTTATAGTCTCCACTTCTTTTCTCAGCACCCATGGTCAGAAGACCCAATAAAGTTCTCCATGACAAAATCCTTGACACCATCAATGTTCAAGTAAGAATTCAGGTCTTCCTGACTCCAGGGCCAGCACTATGCACTGTACCACCTGGCTGCCCATATGATATATGTGAGTATAGGCTATGTGTATGAAGTATAGAGTACAGCAAAGCTGGAAAATAGACCACTGCCAGTATGTAAAAGATTTTAGAAACCAGACAATGGAATTTATATTTTTTCCAAGAAGCAACAGAGAGTTACTGTAGTTTATACAGGAGAGGAATAACATGGTCAGATCTTTGCTTAAAGATAATTAATAATTTGAGATTATTGTGTTGGGAACAGCAGCAATAGGGCAGTAGGGGAGGTCATAGGATCATAGAATGTTAAGAGCTGGAAACTACCTTGGAGATTATCCAATCCAGGTGTTCTTAGTCTTCAGTTTACAGACAAATTTCAGGGGGTCCCATGAACTTGGATGAGAAAAAAATAACATCTTTATTTCAATATAATTGGTTTCCTTTGTAATTCTATAAGGAAAACTACTTTAGCAACTTTGTAGTGGGGAAATACTTGAGGAAGAGAGATCAATTAGGAGGCCATTGTGATAGTCCATTGTGCTGAAGGCCTGAACTAAGTGACAGTAGCTATGTGAGTAAAAATAATGGATTGATTTGAGAAATGTTTTGGAGGTAGAAATGTCAAGATTTGACAATTAATGAGATATGTTGGTTCTTTGAGAGAGGGGAATCAAGGATAACTCTGAGGTTACAAACCTAGAAGACAAGAAGAATAAATTTCTCCTGCAGAAACAGGGAAGGTTGATAGAGCGATGGGATTTAGGGCAAAGAAAATTAATTCTGCTTTGGACGTGCCAAGTTTAAGATCTCTCTCAGACATTCAATTAGAAATGCCCAATAGTCGCTTGGTGATATGGGACTGGAGCTCAGAAGAAGCCAAGAAGAAGAGCAGCACCAGGACCATCCATTGGTTCTGCTTCCAGCCTAGCCTCCACTGCCTTCATCCATGGGAGCGGAGCCTTAAAAAGGGATGCACCATCTCTGCCACCACCAATACCATTGGTCAATCAACTGTGAAAAATGAGCAGCTAAACACAAGAACCCCAGAAACAGCAGCAGTAGCCTCGCTTGCCCTGAAGCCAGTATCCAGGCAGGCAACTCTTGGCTGCAAGGACCTGTCAACTGCTTCTGCAGGTTCTATAGTCCCCACCTTCTCTGCAGCCATAGTTGGAAGACCCAGTGAAGAAAGTTCTCCATGCCAAAGTCCTTGGCAGCATCAAGGTTCAAAATAGAAATTAATATTATTTTATTAATCGAAAGAAGATGCATTACCATCTACTTTGCTACTACACTCTAATCAGCAATGGACCATTCCATGTGGCATACAATTAAATCTCCTAAATGTGCTGTCTCCCCATTAAGATATGAGCTCATTGAGATGAAGGACTATCTTACTTTTTTATTTGTGGCTACAGAGCTTTGCACATAGAAAATATTTAATAAGTGGCTTTTTCATTCATTCTTTCATTTATTCATTATCTATAGCCCTTATATAGATAGTCATGGATGACTCCAAGATTGTAAACCTGGATGATTGGAATGATGGTAGGGGAATTCGTAAAATTATGGGTTTGTACAGGATATAAGACAGCTAGGTGGTACAGTGGATAGTTCCCTGGGCTTGGAGTCAGGAAGGCCTGAGTTCAAATCAGTCTTGGGACACTTACTAGCTGTGTGAGTCTGGGCAAGTCACCTAGCTCTGTTTGCCTCATTATCCTTATGTGTCAAATGAGCCAGAGAAGGAAATGGCAAACCACTCCAGTATGTTTGCCAAAAACAACAACAACAACAACAAAAACCCAATGGAGTCACAAAGAGTTGAACATGACTAAAACAAATGAACAACGACAACACCACCAGAATATAATGAGTTCTCCTTTGTATATGTTGTATATGACATGCATATAATACTGGCTCCTAAGTACCTTCCTAGACATCTCACATTATTCCCCCTCATGTACTTTTTACTTAAGCCACACTGGACTAATCATCAACCCCCAAATACATCCTATCTTTTCCCACCTTTGATCATGCTGTTCCCTGTGCCTAGACTATCCTCTGTCCCCCATCGCTTACTTTTCTTTCAAGACCTAGTTCAAATGTCAATGACACCATGGTTTCCCTTGTTATTCCAGTTGAAAGTGATTTCTTCTTTGTCTATACATATAGCACTGTGTAATGCCATAATTCAATATTTATTGCCTACTGTGACTGTAGAAGTAGGCATTAGAGAAAACAAATGAGAGAAAGTACCTAATCTAAAAATATGTACAAAAATAAATGTAGGACAAATTAGAATGCAAAGTTTACTTCAGCTTTCTTAGTCTTAATTTGTATTATATTTAATCTGTTAACATCCTGTCATCACCACCACACTGTAAACTCCTTGAGGAAAACAGCTATGTGTCATTTATCTGGCTATGTTGCCCAATGCCCAGAAGTGCATTCATTGCACATAACGATGTGTGGCCCACTGCTATTTCTTCACTGACAGTTACAGAGTAGCAGAAAATAATAAAAATAACACTGCAAGTAGCACCAAGAATAACAGTTTTTAGACTATCTCTAGCCATTAACTTAATTTGGCAGGTGACATGGCACAGAAGCCTATGTTCAAATCCCATCTCTTCTACTTAGTACTGGTATGAGCTTAGCAGTGTGCCTAGTTCGTAGTAGGTGCTTTAATGTTAGTTGAATAACTTAATGATTTTAGGAAAGTAATGTAACCTCTCTAGGCTTGAGTTTCCTTATCATCCTAGTAAGCTGCTTTTTCTCCCAGTAAAATGTAAACTCCTTGAGGGCAGGGACTATTTTGTTCTTGTCTTCACAATTCTAGCACCTAGTACTAAGCCTGGTGGGTGCTAAATGGGTGCTAAATAAATTCTTGTTGAATTGAATTTTACTGAATTTCCTGTCTTAAAATGCTATGGAAAAGTGGGGTGGTTGTGGTGGTTGTGGTGGTAGTTGTTAAGTAAACTCCTGATCTTGGCATTGAAAACCCTCTGTGATCTGGGTTCCACCTAGGTATGCAGTCTGGAGCTGTAGAAAGGGCATTGGATTTGGAGTGCTGGAGAAATGTTAGTTACTGTGATTATCTCATAATCTTCCCTTTTACGTAGTGTACATTTCAGAAAAACTGGACTACTCTTTGTTCCCATTCTTGATCTGCTCTCTACTGTCTCTGTGCCTTTTATCCCCCATGCCTAAGATGTTTCCTCTCCTCTCCTTTTTCCCCAAACATTATACTTCCTCAAAGTTAGCACAGCATTTCACCTTTGCCTCTGAAATTTCACAATCTCCTTTGTATCGTGGTTATATACATCTTACTGCTTTTCTATTGGATTATAAGATCTGTGAGAA